GCGCAAGCTAGGCATAGTTTCTATTTATAACACGTGTTTAAAGGGTAGCGCAATGTAGCCAATCACAGACTCAGCTGTTGATTTCTGGAACGCAATGGCCAATCAGAGGTGATGAAGTTAGAATCCACTCACCGCAGTGCTGAAATTGCGTGCTCACGAATCTTCTCATTTTAACACACAAAGTGTAGACATTGTGAAAGATTCATTGTGCATATGTTCATTGTGTTATAACATAGCTTTATGAGATCGCGATGAACTGAGATGTCAGCTTTTAGAGATTATAAAGGAAGCGCTGCTCGCATTCTGCCATGCCAAACCATGCACGCAGCAGCCCATGCTTGCTTTTCTGTTAAAAATAACAGTGGTTTGAGAATGTTGATGCTTAGCCTAAATAACATATTTTATCGGGAGCATTTATGCGGATATGTTGTGACTCTTAGGAGATGTTACAGAGCCATTTAATGTAAATGTCTTTGATGTGCTGAAAAAAAAATCTATATACATTATTTTTATGCAGACTTTTGCGGGCAGGAGCGGGACAAAACATGAATGTCGCGGACGGGAGCGGGCCCAGATAAGATATTTTTCAGTGGGAGCGGGCGGGCGCGGGACAGAATCTTGCGGGAGCGGGACTGAAGCAGCGTTGACAGAATACATGCCATTCGTGCAGGTGTTAACTTTCTGCAGTGCATAAGGCCATTTCGCGATTTCAGTCATCATACAGTAACATCCCCCCCATCAATGACATGCATTCTAAACAGTCTCTCAGTCATTGCTTGTGATAATTTTTGCGTCTTCTCGGACACTTTTAATACTTCTGACATGTTTGCTGCATTTCTAAAACGACCACGCGCTAGGGATGGGCATATCGATCCGAAGTATCGATATATCGATACTGACTCAAACAAAAAATATCGATACTAAGGTGCGTTTTATTTACCAGTGATTTTGTTTATTTAACAAAAATAATAATAATAATAATAATGCGTACAATATGCATTGAATTGGACGAATAACCTTTGTTAGCGAGTAATTGTGTAGGATAGAACTATTTGCCTGCTCATCTGAACACACGCAAATGTTGCAAGACAGAACCAATCAATCACAGAGAGCTTTCACTCACTGCTGACAGTGCATTCAAACAGGGCTGCGTTTCCCAAAAGTATCATAAGAAAGCATTAAAGCTTTTGGGAACGGCAGCCCTGAACAATGCTTATCAGAGGACAGAAAACAAAACATAAATGTTTGAGTTATTTCACAATAAACAAATTGAAATTGTAGCCTACATAGTTTGTGCAATTACAATTATTTAAACTGAACGTTGAAAGATAATATTGAGCATGTTCTATTCTGTAATGTTAATAGAAATCATACACCGTCAGAATAAAAAGGTTGCATTTTATGCATGCAACAGCCATTCACTGGCAGTCCCTAATGGCAGTACAAAATATTGAACTAAATCAAAAGTTAAAAATGTTACAAATAAGTTAGAATATTAATGTTGTAATACTGGTAGCACTAATATAAAAATGTGATGATATATGTTACAAAAAAGTAAAAATGTTGAAATACGTTGATAGTTGTATTTTTTTGTATTTGATCTCAGTATTCCTTTAAATGTTGTATAAGGGTTTTTTATGCATAATAGTAACCCTAGAATGTGATCAAACAGTTTAAAATAGCTGGGCTGAGATATATATAACAATTTTTAAGACTGCAGAAATATGTTAATTCAGTATACACATTATCCCACCGGTTACAATTGTGACTGACCATAAAATAAATATTTTCACACACTTTTCCCCAAAAAAAAATGTATTGATTATTTCAAAGGGTTACTAATGACACATCATTTGGATATTTTTATGTCTGGGAAAAATTTGGGATTAAACGGGTTAAAATGCGCTTTAAACATAAAGTTAAGTGGTTTTCATTACCCATTTTACTCTTAGTAATTTAATAATTTAATAAATTTCATAATTGAAAAGTTTAGTGCAGAAGTATCGAATCGGTATCGATATCGATGATACTGCCTTGAAAAATATCGGTATCGTATCGAAAACAAAATAAGGGGTATCGCCCATCCCTACCACGCGCCTCTCACTCTAGTTGCTATTTGATCGCGTCATCAAAAACGTCATTGTTCGGTAAAAGTTACTTCGTCTTTTGACTTATTATACCATTTAACATATTTAAGATATGATACTCAGCAGATATTTAAAACTTACCTCGATGTGTTTTTTCAAATTATATGATGAACTCTTGAACGCAGATATCTCAACTGGTCTAGGCAGACAAAGTGGACATGACATAATGACACAATTGCCCTTCTTCGCCTTCACTGCAAAAAGTTCCTTTAGGTGTGGCCAAGGATGCTGAAGTGCTGTATTTGAGCTGCTGCATCTTAAAACATCCACCACGCTTTCTCCGTCCTCCTCCTCCATGATTAAACTAAATTGGCGCCACAGGTGTCAAGTCTGTCTGATGCAAGTTTTCTATGCGCAATTTGATTGGACGGGAATCACGGGACTGGTTGTTCTGCTTAGCCAACCACCATTGACAGGAAAAAAATAAACATAAAAGTAGTGTCGGCAGGTTGAGGAAAAATAGCGCAGTAAAAGTACCGATACAGCACTAAAAATGTACTCAAGTAAAAGTAAAACTACACCGTTTTTAAACTACTTAATAAAGTACAATTCCTGAGAAAAACTACTCAATTACAGTAACGAGAGTATTTGTAATTCGTTATTTTACACCACTGATCGTTACTTCCGCCAGTACAGTAGAACGCCATCGCGCCCTCAACATGGAGTTTACCCAGTCCCTTTTACATTTACCAGAAATACGGCTAAGTGATGTACAGCGAATTGCAGATGAATTGTCCCTTACAAAACGTTCTAAACTTGACAAAGGATACAAGTTCTTCATTGAGCAGTACCTGTTTGATTATGAAGGTAAGTGTTTTGCATTGTCCACGTTAGCGAAGGAGTTAGGATAATGGTAACGTTAGTTGCTAACTTTCTCTACTGCAAATGTAAAGTCTTCCAAGTCTTTAAAATACTGTAATACAGACAACAAACAATCATGTTTCTATGTATGGGATGTTAGCTATAAATTGTGTTTTGTTAGATAAAAGCCAGTAACGTATTCATGGTTAATGATGTGCCCTTTAACCAAAATATTGTATTGGAAGACAGTTTCGAATGTAGTTGTCGATGAGGTGACAGTGAGAGGCCGTTGTCAGAGGTCCATGAGGAAAAATGAGGATGCTCACCCAGACAGCAGACAGTTTGGGCCCAGATCCGGCCCGCGTGGATTTCACATGGGCCAGATGTGGGCCAACACTATGTTGCTGTCTGGGTCATCACCTTCAGGTTTTTCTGATTGTTGTGTTCCGCTGCGGTTGCAGACTTTGCAGTATCCCACAAAGTTCCATTGTGGTTTAATGTGTTTCTCAGTCTAACGTCAATGATTTTGAGGTGCAAAATCAAAAAGGACAATTTTGTACATATTTTTTTTAAAGCAGAAGAGGGTTGTTTGAGGACAATAAAGACTGAGAAATTATAAAATTATGAGTGTTATAAAGTTGAAATAAAGTTGGTGTTCAAAATAAAGTTTGTGTTCAAACTTTATTCACTTACTGTAATCCCTAAGTGTGTTCCACTACTCCAGTGAAATTGTTGTGCAGCAATTTATTTACGTATCTTTATTGTCAGGTTACATTTCGTGCTCAGGAGGTTCCTGTGGTATTGAAATGCATGTCGTGTACCTGCTCTGCTGGAAAAGCACTGTGCAATCACTTAGTGGCATTATTGTTTCAAAGTGCTCACTACAGTACCATGGGATTCAAGACGGTACCTTTGCCACTATCATGCACCAGCTCATTGCAGACCTGGCACTGGCCTAGGACACAGGCAAGGCCGCATTAACAATAGGGCTAGGTGGGGCTTAAGCCCCAGGGCCCGAGCGAGAAGGGGGCCCGTGATTGGCTGTAGAGCAGATTGACAGACCATCGGTAGTGCCGATCGCCAACGCCCCACCACGCCCCTGATTTATTAGCGCTGTTATTTAGAGGAGCTTTGCCGTAAATTCCATGCATTATCATTAGTAATTCAAACGTCACGGTTGAATTTGGTTTACCAATCAAATGCGTTTATTCTATATTTAACTTTTGAACCACCTGCACGTGGGCCTGTCAGGTGATCACTGCACATTATTAGATTGTCCGCATCCACCAATCACTTTTCCCTTTGTTCTAGTCTAATCTGGAAATGGTCATGCTAAGAATTCTTCGATAGGTAAAAATTTATCTACTTTAAAAAAATGTGAGAGTGGGGCTCAAAAACGAAAAAATGTAAAAGAAAAACAGCAGAGGAAACATCAGTTACTCAGTAAAATACCAAAGTTATCGGATTATTTTACTAAAGCTGGTGATGAAGTTGACGAACAGCAAGTGGACCGGAGTTTGACACATGATGGAGTGGATGAAAACACAGCGTCTTTGATTTTAGGTTAGTTTGATTAATAACTTTATGCATGAATTATGTACGTTGCTTTTTGTGTTTGAACAAACGCTATATATTCTTTAAGGGATAGGCTGTGGCCTGTGGGCAATAACCCGGTTGAAATATCGTGTTGCGTCATTATGATGGGAGCTTATCATTTAACTGCATTTTAAACATTGTGGTTTACATACAAATGATTTTAAACCGTTCCCGCTCATTAAGCAGCGGGGGAGAATTCATTTTGGTAAATGCACGTGTTGAGACCGAAACATGCACATCTAAAGCAGCTGCTAGCAGCACAGTGCCTGACTTAACTTAAGTTATTTTTTGCGTCTTTCCCAACTTTCAAATACACATAGTTATGTGTAAAAATGTCTGTCTTTCCGAGTATTGTTTGTCTTGAATGAATGTCAGTATTTAAAGTATTTAACATGTGTATTACTATTAGTATACGAGATCATGAGGTTTTAAAGTGACCGCAGCCCTTTGCTGTTGCCCTGTGCCAATGTCCTTGACTGAGGGGTCCAGGTAGGGGGCGGAGTCTGACATCCGCACGCGCTCCCCTCTCTGGTCCGGGGCGCTAGGGGCGGCGGCTTTGTCACAACTGCTCATCTTCCCTGGCCCGTGGCGCTTGAGGAGAATAGTGGCTCGGCATCCTGGCCCGTCGACACGGGTGTGGTTCCATTCCAGGCAGCAAGTCCAGCAGCTCGCATCTCTAGCGGCGTGGGAGTGGTGTAATGTTATATGCATTCATGATGTGATTGCATATTGACTCCACTATAGAGGAGACAAGATTGTGTTCAATATCAGTCATCAGCGTTTAAAGGAGAGGCTCTTAAGAGAAACAAACCTGACCCTTGAAAAAACTGGACATTTGTAGAGCAGCAGAGGCAGCTAAAACACAGATTCAAGCAATGGGGGAGCAGAGTAAAACTGTTCACGTCATTAAAAAGAAGGCAAAAGATGCAAGACAGAGCAAGAGATATGAAAGAACATCATCTCAACAGCACAAAGCAGATTCATTCATCTGCAAAAAGTGTGGAAAATCTCACCTTCCACGACAGTGTCCAGCCTTTGGCGCAACATATCATGCCTGTGGAAAACGTAATCACTTTGCCTCAGTGTGCATGTCTCAACAAAAAGACACAAAGACTAAACACAATAGAAATGTCACTGTTGATTCATTATTCATCGGGTCAGTTGAACTAAAAGACACCCGCGGCTCTGTACAGAACGCATGGCACACAGATGTAGACATTGGAAATGTGACAGTGAAGTTCAAATTGGACTCTGATCATCTCAACAGCACAAAGCAGATTCATTCGTCTGCTGGTGGCGTATGGTGGAACTAAATTAAAGCCAGAAGGTGTGGCCAACCTTCAGTGTGTCACACCCGAAGTGCAAGTTTGCTTACCCTTTTACATCACCAGACACTCGTCCATTCCAATACTTGGTAAGGAAGCATGTGAACGGATGCAACTGCTTAAAAGAGTTGAGGCTGTTGTAATTAAGCATTCTACCTCAAAAGAGGAGCTGATGGCACAACATCCAACAGTTTTTGAAGGGCTCGGTCAGTTTCCCGGTGAACATCATATTCATGTCGATCCGAAAGCAATCCCGGTCATACATGGCTGCAGAAAAATTCCCTTAGCAGTGCTGGGCAAACTGAAGGACACACTGGATCAGCTGTTGCAAGCAGACGTTATAGCACAAGTCACCCAGCCCACTCCTTGGGTCAACAGCCTTGTTGTCACTGAAAAAAAGAATGGGTCACTACGAGTATGCTTGGATCCTCGTGACCTAAATAAAGCTGTTCTTCGTCAACACTTCTCTATTCCGACAACTGAAGATGTCCTGTGCAAGCTTGCTGGAAAGAAAATTTTCTCCATCTTTGATGAAAAGGACGGCTACTGGCAAGTCAAACTTGACATGGAATCCTCCCTACTATGCACGTTCAACACGCCATGGGGTAGATACAGATTCAAACGTCTACCATTTGGTATCAGGTCTGTTAGTGAAGTTTTCCAGCAGTACAATAATGAAGTGTTCGGAGACATAGGCGGTGTGTACACATTGTAGCTGATGATATGATTGTCGCAGCTGCCACAGAACAAGAACATGATGTCATTGTTGCTAAAATTATGGAGAGAGCCAAAAAACACAATGTGAAATTCAACCCTGACAAGATTCAGTTCAAGGTGAACAATGTACATTTCATGGGCCATGTGATAACACCACAGAGAGTGAAAGCAGATGATGGCAAGATACATGCAGTAGTAAGCATGCCAGCACCCATAGACAGACAAGCACTGCAGCGCCTTTTGGGCATGATAAGATATCTTGCACCATTTATTCCAGGTGAGGCATCACTCACGGCTCCTCTCAGAAAGCTGTTGAGAAAGGACATTGTATTCCAGTGGCAACCAGAACAAGACAAGGCACTGTCTGCACTCAAAACAGCACTGACCAACACACCAGTTCTCAGGTACTACGACCCCAACACAGCACTCACCATACAAACAGATGCATCCAAAGATGGCTTAGGATCATGTCTGCTGCAGGAGGGGCAACCAATAGCATATGCGTCCAGGTCTTTAACGGATACAGAAAAGAACTACGCCCAGATTGAAAAGGAGCTACTGGCGATTGTCTTTTCAACCAAAAAGTTCCATCAGTATATGTACGGACGCAGTGTGAATGTCCAATCAGACCATAAGCCATTGGAGGCTATCTTCAAGAAGCCACAGAGCAAAGCACCGGCGAGACTCCAACGTATGCTCTTACAGCTACAGAAATATGACCTCATTGTCCAATACACACCTGGTAAGGACATGTTAATTGCTGATACACTGTCACGTGCTGTCGCTGAAGGCCAACACACAGGTACAGATGATCTCAGTGATGAAAGGGTCATATATTCACTTGAAGCAACAGAGGCT